GGGGTCTCTGCATACACCATGATGGCGATGCTATAGCTGATGGAGGTGAATGGTTTGTGTTTATATCCCCCCGTTGCCTTTTGTTTGTTGGGGACATCTTGCTGGCCATGTTGATTTAAACGAAATTCTCCTCCCACCCCCCATCCTACTCCAACCTCCAATAAATAGAATGTTCCATCGTTCCTCTCAACTGTACCAATTACTCATGCCTCGCGAAATTAGATGAAAGGGTGCCCCCTTTCCCCCGCTTTTTCTCCCACCCTAATCTTTACCTGATGATGGTTTCTTTACCGAAGCAGATATACCACTACACAAACAGTTGGGGGAGGGCTGGTGGAACCCTTATGATTGGATTGTGACAAATGGGGCTTCGCTTGAATAATTTTGGTTTAGTAGCAGGCAGTTCTTAACTAACACATATTATTTTGAGGCTCTGAACACGGTATTCCCTTTTCTGGCTTCCTGTGTGCGAACCAAACAGCTGGTTATAGCCCAACAGAGAACTAACATCTCTGTCAGAGTGGAGATTGGGCTATGCAATTATAAATCTTAAGGGGGATTTAGAAATTCTTTTTGTAATCAATCATTTTTTTTTCCATTATGATGAAATAACTTCTAGAATAAGCAGACCACTACATTTGTTTCTGGGCACTTTTGTGTGTGGAAAAACCTCACTGGAAGATCCTTTTTCACTAGTAACTTTGTAGTGTTAACATTCCAAGATTTTTGTATTAAGATCTTTGTACAAGATTTGGATATTTGTTCTTTTAAGTTTACTTCTAATTATTAACTTTTTAAAAACAGAATGGGTTGAATGGAGAGTTCCTTTTGTTTGTTTGTTTTAAAGACAGGTTTACTGTGCAGCTCAGGTTGGCCTGGGACTCACGGTGTAGACCACGCTAGTTTTGAACTAGTAGAGATCCTCCAGCCTCTACTTCTCTAGTGCTGGGATTAAAGGCATCCACCACTATGCCCTACTTGGAAAATTTCATTTATCCCAATTTCATACTATTGACTGAGAAAGCCTCAGAAATTTGAAATTTTTTGGAGATACTCAACTTGCAATTAAAAACAAGCTGAGTGATGGTGGCATGTGCTTTTACTCCCAGCACTGGGGAGGCAGAGGCTGGAGGATCTCTGAGTTTGAGGCCAGCCTAGTCTACAAAGTCCACTTTTATGTTTCCATTGGTGTGTCATTGTGCCTGAGACTTCGAGGAACTGTGATAGATTTCTTAGCTGGCTCTATTAAAACTTTTAGTAATGCTTCATTGTGGTTAGGATTACTATTCTTTTTGGGGGAGTAAGAGAGGTGATAACAGGAATGCCTGCCATAGTTACTTAAGCATGCATACAGGCCTGGCAGTGGTGGTGCACACCTTTAACCTTAGAACTGGGGAGGCAGAGGCAGGCAGGTCTTTGAGTTCAAGGCCAGCCTGGTCTACAGAGTTCCAGGACAGGCTCCAAAGCTACAGAGGAACCCTGTCTTGAAAAATCAAAAAAGAATGCTTATAAATTTTTTGTGCAGTGAATTTAGGAAGACATTCCTTTATTCCTTTTAGAAATATTTTTTTCAGGGTGTGTGTGTGTGTGTGTGTGTGTGTGTGTGTGAGAGAGAGAG